AGCACAGTGTCAACACGGGTTCTACTGCTGTTATTTTATGGTCCCCCAAAAAGACGGAGGACTCCGTCCTATTATTGACCTCAGGGGACTCAACCAGTTTATCTCCTATTGGAAATTCCGAATGACAACATTACAAAGCATTCTCCCCCTTCTCAACGAGGGTGTCTGGATGGTAGCCTTGGACTTGCAAGATGCATATTTTCATATAACTATCCACCCATCTCACAGGAAGTTTTTGCGTTTTGCAGTCGCGGAAGGCCTTTTTCAGTACAAGGCCCTTCCTTTTGGACTCTCAACAGCGCCCAGAGTCTTCACAAAAATTATTATTGTCATCGCAGCGTACCTCCTTCTCCAGAGTGTTTGCTTGTACCTGGTAGCTGGTTGCTGGTAGCAAGCTCCAGAGAGACTCTGCTCAACCATATCGATTTAACACTGGTCACCTTAGACGCGTTGGGCCTGAGGGTGAACCTGAAAAAGTCAATGCTCCTTCCTTCCTTGAGAGTCCAGTTTATTGGAGCAAGATAAACAGGTTGCTTACCTGTAACTGATGATCTTCGAGTGGTCATCTGTGCATTCACACCACCTGCCCTCCTTCCCCTCTGCTTTCGGTCCTCTCCTTTTTATTACTCTGAGACTGATGGCAGCGGTCAGAAGGAACTGGCGGGATTGTCGTGCCCCTCCCTTGGTCATGCGCAGTGGGGCCAGCACGTGACTGGGGAGCGGGCGTGAAAATCCCTTTCGCTTTCAAGAGGAACCGATCAAGGTCGGCACAGGCGCACTATATCCCAGAGGTGTGAATGCACAGATGACCACTCAAAGATCATCAGTTACAGGTAAGCACGTTTTTTTTATTGGGGTACTTCTTTACCTCAAGCCCATTTAACATATTGGGGTAAAAAACATACACCATGAGTTCATTAAAAGAAAACAAATCCAGGGAACCTTTTTAAATACTCTGAAGAGATACAGCCCTTCATGACAACCCAATGATAACTCTTACTGATAACCAGAATAGGTAGTTTACCCCAGAGAGGGATATTTGTGTGATAGAAAAATACAAAATACCCAACGATAAAGTTGGAAACTGGTAATTTTGATTTTTTTCTGTTCACATTCATGAAAGTTTGTTAGTTGTCTAATAACTTAGGTTCAAAGCGTGGGTGGGGGTTTTCAAATAAAACAATAGCTTTGTAAAGGAACTATAAAAGTACAAATTCTTTGGTATACTAAAAAGGAGGCAAAAGAAACATTCTGCCTCATGTCAAAGTCAGTTTTCAAGCTGTGAACGTTTTAGTACGGTGAAACACAATGATAGCTGCCACACTTTTGTTTTTGTGAGAATTTTTCTTGGGGTAGAAATAATATCCCGTATGCAATATGTATAAGATATTTTTATTTTTTATTTATTTATTTATTTTTAGATATATATCCCGCCCTTCCAAACGGCTCAGGGCGGCTAACATACGGCTAAAGCCGGATTAAATAGATAAAATACAGGATTGTTAAGCATAGTGTGTCCCTGCAATAATGAAATTTTAGGTTGCCAGCTGGTATTTGGGAAGTTAGCAGTATAATTTCTATAGTTCTGTGGGGCAGTTACTTGATGCCAGTGCCTGGTGCCCCACTCCATATGCACACCCGTTCTTTCACTCATTGTTCAGAATCAATAAAAATGTTCAAGGGGTTTTGCCATTATGCACTTGTTCATGCCTGTAACTGTTGTGGACTGCTTACGTGTCAGGTAATACAGGAGCATGAAATAGAGGGAAGGGAAGGAAACGGTGGCCATTAGCACATATTTTGCTGTTGCCATATGTCTGTTAATGTTTCACTTTTGTGCTTACATGTAGCTTATTCAGTGCACAGGAAACTATTTTACTCTGTACCACTGTGCTGGAGTGCTTATGGGAAAAAATTAAATTGTGCAGACAAAATTATGGGAGAAGAAATGTGCATGATCTGTGTGCTAATTCCAGAATTATTACAGGAATTCTCCATGCAGAATGAATGAAGGCATTGTGAAATTCATGGCAGAGCAAAACCAGGGAACAGTAATGGAGCAGAATGGAGAGAATCAACATACACTTCCTTAGAAGAGGCATTCTGCTTCTTACAGAAGAGGGAATACCTCTTTTATGATGGCTAGAATGTCTGTGTATTTAAAAAAAAAACAGTATGTTCTTCAGAACTATTTTTTATGCATAGTTGTTTAATTAATTGTTTAATTAAACTATCAAATAAAATGTATGTGACTAATTAGCCATTTTTAATCAGTTATCAGCTGCTGTTTTATATTTTGGCCTGCTTGTATACCTTTCTCCCCCTGCACTAAATCCTATAAAGTTTGAAAAATGGTTGATAATGGCATTTGGCACAGTAGAAAGAGTAACCTACTGAAGTCATGCCCGATGATACTTTTATGTAAGGAAAATTGGCCTTCCCTCGCCTACGTTTGACTGTTGCCATAGCGACAGGGGCATTGAGTTGTGAGTGTGTGCGGGCTTTTAAATCCTGAAATGAATTCCATGCACAAGTTGATCTGCTGCTTTGTTTCTTTTGATTTTGCTGCCATCAGAAGATTTGCACTGCTCTCCTGCCTTTTGATAATAATAGAAAATCTACCCACCTAAGGGCTTTCCCTAAATTTTAAAGAGGAGATCCCCTCCCCCCGCAGTGTTTTGGCCTTAGCCTTGCTTTCTCTTATCAGGAAGTGCCAAGAAACTGAGGAGGTGGCTTGCTGTAGAATATACTTACACTACTGTTTGGTGCTTTTAATTACCACCCAAGTATTATTCGTCTAGATACAGCCTCTAGGGCCAGACTGCAGAGTAATGTACAACCTTCAAAGGACGGCGTTTTTAAAAGAATTATAGAGGGGATGTCTATGTTAGTCTGCTGCATCCGAAACGAAATCTTGTGGCACCTTAAAGACAAAATGAATTTTGTCAACCTGAGCTGACTTTGTCACCTTCAAGAAAGAAAGAAAGAAAGAAAGAAAGAAAGAAAGAAAGAAAGAAAGAAAGAAAGAAAGAAAGATTCTCAAACAATAACCAGGTGTTGCACTGGGGGAACAGGGTAGACTTGCTATTGTTTGGGCTGCATTTTTTTATTTTTATTTTTTGGTAACAGGATAAGAGCTTTAGTTGCTTGACCAGGATAGAAGTGGTGTAAATGGGATAGTGGGACTGAAAAGCTATGTCTTTCATCTATTGGTGATGTCACCCGCACTATCCAATAACGGCCCTGAAAATTAGCAGCCACATAGCACTCACTATTGATAAACTGACAAGGGTGGATATTGCATTTTAGCCAGCAACAAAATTATTATAGCTGTGAAGATGGATGATTTCTCTCTCTCTCTCTCCCACCCTGCCATTCTGAGGCCTTAAGGAAAGGCCTCTGGATCCCACTGAGCAACTAACTGTAGCAGTCTTTGCACTAGGAAGAAAAACAGCCTGGAAAGGCATTACAAGAACACTATGCAAAGTGCAAGAAATGAGTAATGAAAGCCAAATAGAAGCTGCTCACTCTTCATCTACATAGTTGTGTGGCATACTGCATGTTTCTTAGACTTGCTTATAAAGCGATTGCTTTAGCAGCTTTTGCAAACAGATTGATTGCCCTTTTTTAATTCACTTCTGCCTTTTAGCTTATTAACTCAGTTTCTTGGCATGCTGCCGTCACAATTTCTTCCTGCTGGTCATTTGCCAATTTATTTTTGCCTTTACCGGCATCTTTATAATTTGGTCAACTATGTGGTTGCTTTGTGTTAATAATTGTCAAATTGACCATGGGGTGGTAAGGTGCAAAAAGAACCACCCAGTCTTTTGAGAGAGATTCGATTGCATGTTCCTGTGCTGCAGCCACAATGTACTAGATCTCAGTCAACATAAGAATTACCAACGAAGTCTCATGCACAAAGATAGCAGGATCTATTAATAAATACTTGGTAAATAAGCAATAATGTGAAAATGTCTCTGGTACAAAAAGATTATTTGCTGCTAATAATATGATATCGACATAAATATGAGCATTATTTTTAGAGTATATGAACTATATGTACCCAGAATTCTTCTAAAGATTGTTCTTCATGTTCATGCTTAAGCCCATATAAAACAAGTTGCTGACCAGCATTGATCAATGCTCTATGCAGTGACTGGATAATTGAGCTGCTACGTGTGGATTCTTTGCAAGATGCTGTTTATATTCTCAGGCTTAGTATCAACGGATGGTATATTTGTACCACATAATCCATAAGAACACTGAAAGTGCAACCCTGATCCAAAAACAAAAGTCATGTAATAGCTTTTATTAAGACCAAACAAGATAATACAAGCCAGACAGCATAGATATATCCTACATAAATAAATAAATACAACAGTGTGGAACAGCATAGATATATCCTTCATAAATAAATAATACAACAGTGTGCAAGCTTTCAAGTTCTCCATAACTATTTATCTGGCTGAATATTTTTAACGGGAAGTAGAGAAGAAAATAAATTTTCTCAGACCATGATCTTGAGGTATCTTTATCAGAAGAATGCTTTGCTAACTGCAGTGAGCACAGTTCCAGGTGGTCAGCTGTGTTGGTCTGAAGCACTAGAACAAATTTAGAGTCCAGTGGCACCTTTAAGACCAACAAAGGTTTATTCAGATGCTGTTAAGTTACCTCCACGCCTGAGAGGAGACAAATGGTGATCCTCGGTTTACTTCCCACAATTCAGAAAAGATGCCTTTTCACATTTATCTTCTATTTTGACGTATTTATTACTTTGCTGTCCTTTCCCCCCTTAATTAAATCAAAACAACTGCTGACCTTATAACCTTAGCTTCTTATTTAGTTTTGACTGCATATCTTAAAGCATCGGCATCATGTTACATGTTAATTTGCTGTTCAGCATCTGTCTGTAGGCTTGAACTCTACCTTCAGCTCCAATGTATTTGAAAAAGTGTGCATGCGCACAAAAGCAGTAACTGGTGATTGGTTTTCTATAACAGCAATGAGAAACGGCGCAGGGAGCAAGAGAACAAGTACCTAGAAGAACTGGCAGAACTGCTTTCAGCCAACATTGGAGAGATTGACAGCCTAAGCGTCAAACCTGACAAATGCAAGATTCTGAAAAAAACCGTTGACCAGATTCAGCAGATGAAGAGACTTGAGCAAGGTAAGTCAACAAAGTCCTTTGTTTTTTCATTGGTATCTGCTGTATTTGGGTGGACAACTGTGTGATGTTCAAGAGAGGAATTGAGTTCTGAGGCATGCATTTGAGCCTTCCCTCTCCCCCATACACACCAGCCAGAATGGATGTGAATGCCCTGTAGCAGAGGACCCTCACTGATGCACACTGGACTTGTCAGGATGAATACTTCATCATCTTAACCTGTTTTATGAGGGGATCTTAGGAATTTCAGTTGCTTTTTTTCTAATTGTAGTTCCTTGTGTTTAAGGAAGGGATCAGAGATATCCCATCCCTTTTATATCCCATCAGCCGCCCTGAGCCCGTTCACGGGGAGGGCGGGGTATAAATGCAATAAAATAAATAAATAATAAATAAAATAATCCCAGTGTTTAATTTGTACTCCTGTCCATGGATCCTCACATACAGCAGTAGATTGCACTCTGCAGTGCACGCAAATCTCTACATGCAAACCCTTGAGAGGTATTGCCTCAATGGACGATGTACAGGATAATACACACAACAAAGCCTTGCTTTACTTTCTTAAAGCAAAATGTCTTGGGGGTGTGGGAGCAATTTTGACTAGAAAGAGGGAGTGGTGCTTAACTCTTTCCTCATCTGCCAGTTATCACTGTCAGCTGCTTTCTCCTGGTAAGACTCTAGAAATGTAAATACCTTTTGGAACTTGGCAAGAGGGGGAAATGATTTGAACCAAGAACACTGCTAGGAGTTAAAGCAATAAGTACCCTTCCTACTCAAATACCCCACCACTGATTAATTGCTCAAAATAGCTCCCTCCCCAAACTACTTTTCTTTACAAAAGCCAATGTTTAGATACTAGTTTTTTTCCTCCTGCCCAAATGGCAGGATTCCGGCTTTCCCTTCTTGTTGTTTTTCTTAGTCTATCAGTAATGGTAGCAGGGAAAGGTCTCTAAGGATAGAACTAAATGTTACAGGAGAAATGCAGGGCTAGAAGGGATTGCCTCCTCCCATGTTGAACTTGTCCATTTCTAAGACAAGATTCTGAAAACATGTTCTGGTAGAGGGCCATTTGTGTGGTGGTATCCCAGCTGTGCGTATCCTCCCCAGATACATTCATATAGTGCAGCTTTATTGCCTTATAGGTATCAAGTTAAAGCAATTTTATTTTTCTGAGCATTTGGTTGGTGGTGATGGGATTCTGGTGTTCCTTCCCTTTGCATATAAGAGTGTGATATGCAATAAAAATTACACAAAATTACACAGGGGTCAAGTAGCATCTTAAAGAGTGACAAGATTTATTTCAGCATTAGGTTTTGCGAGTGAGGGCTCCCTTCTTTTGAAGTTTGAGTCCAGTGGCACCTTGAAGACCAACAAAGTTTGGTCTTGCACACAAAAGCTTATACCGTGAATAAAACTTTGTTGGTCTTCAAGGTGCCACTAGACTCAAACTTTGCTCTGCTGCCTCAGACCAACATGGCTTATCCAACTGAATCTATTTGCATGGGTAGGCAATTCATAGTTCTGTGGTAATGTTCTGTTATGGTGTGCAGTGTAGCACTCTGGCTTTCTGTTGTATTTTGAAAGGGAAATTGCCTGTGTTTTTGTATGTTGTGACAGCATAGCTCTTGCAGAAGTGTTCTTGGGAGTTGAATTTTTTGTGTGCCCGGCATGGACCTGTCTTTTGAATACTGGAATTGCATTTACTTTTGTTTCTCCCATGGTTGCATCTGATACCCACTAACAGTAACTGCTTAACAGTATTTCACCTGTGTACCGCACTGCCTTCTCACTTGTGCTGGGGGGTTTTGCCCTTTTTTGTAAACTGAGGAAGTGTCAGGGGAGAGGTTGCTCTCTGTGTGAAAGAAATTCTGCCCAACTCTGGGTAATATTGTACATGGTTCTTAGATGCAGACTTAAAGCTTTAGAGAAAAATCTAAAATGTAAAGTGTGAAGGGTAATAAAGACGCATCTTGGAAAATGTATGTTACTGTGGTACATTCCTTTCTGCGTGCCCCTGTTGAGTTTACCTTTGTGTGATGTGTAAAATGACCCTCTGTACAGAACAATAGAAGTAGCTATATCCCTATAATTGTTTCTGATTTCCGTTTAAGGACTGAACTAGAGGTGATGGTGGAAGACCCATGGATGGAACTCCCATGGACTTTTTCTAGATTCAAAAAACAGTACAGGGAAGAGGATTGGGACTGGGATTTAGTGCCTCTGGTGGGAAGTTAACCTGTTCCCTTGTGTTGCCCAGGGCAGATTTCACCCCCACCTGACCTCCAAGAATAGGGTTATCAGCCATAACTTTATGTTGCACAGAATCCTTTTTGAGGAAAGAGGGGGAAAGGCTAGGACTGGCATCAGGGGAGAGAGCAACTGGGATATCTGAATGGAATGAATCTGTCAATAAATTTAACCAGCTTTTGTCTTCAGCACTTGAATTTCTTTGCTTTCACAGTTGTTCCAGGGAGAGCTCTGCCCCTCTTGTTTCTCCTCCCCCCCTCCTGTGGCTAAATTGTTAGCAGTTGGGAGCATGAGAAATTGTTGCTTGCCATTGGCTTAAGGCTTGCCCCGAAGTCCCTCTGTACTCAGAAGAGAGACGAGGGTGCTTGCATTTCTCCCTAAATAGAATGCTTGCCTGGTGGCATCAGCAGCCCTTTCAAAAGACAAAATGTGGGGCGTGTAACTTGTCAGTTTGCCAGGAGACAAAGGCTGTGCTTAGCATCCCAAGGAAATTTTCTATGCTGGTGGAGGCAGCCCTTTTATCAAGAATGAGAGAGAGTGGAGAGGTTCATGATAATAAGGTTCCTTTTCCAAGAGTCGCCCAAAATATATTTCCTGCATCTTTGATCTGTAACTGCCTCCTTGTAAGCTGCCCTGAGCTCGCGTAGCAGGGAGGGCGTTGTATAAATTGAACTTATAAATATAAATAAATAAATATAACTGATGTGTTCACGTGTTAACATGCTCTCAGTGTGTCCTATCATGAATGTCACCTGGATGTACCTACTATGCTCATCATAAAGAACTGCTTTCAACTGTAGATACCCCTTTAAGACTGAATGTTGGTAGCATGTCTGCTTTACTTTAAGAATTAAATAGCCTAATTGTCCTAGGGATAATGATTGAAAATGCAAGGGCTGTGTGATGGACTACGTTTAAAATGTTTTTTTCTAATGCAGCAAAATCAGAGAAGGGAGGTAAATAGTTAACTTTGCTCTAGAATGCTGAGTTTGAGTTGCAGGCTGCTGCTGTTCTCTGATTGGCCAGCGCCACCTGAGGGAAATATAAAATCAGCTGTGTGCTGAGGAAAGAGAGGGTTCCTTTTGAGCTCAGCCACAGTTACTGTTCAGTAAAGTAAAAGAGCCAGTTTGATGTAGTGGTTAGGAGCACAGACTCTAATCTGGGAGAGCCAGGTTTGAATCCCCACTCCTCTACTTGCAGCTGCTGGTGTGACCTTGGGTCAGTTACAAGTTCTTTCAGAGATGTTCTCTCACAAGCAGTTCTCAACTCTCAGCCCCACCTACCTCCAAAGGGTGTCTGTTGTGGGGAGGGGAAGGGAAAGGAGATTGTAAGCCACTCTGAGACTCACTCAAGTAGTGAAGGGTTGGGTATAAATCCAATCTCCTCCTCCTCCTTTTCTTAAGGGGGTGGATATCTGAAGTGTCTGACTAAAAAGTCTGTCAGACAGGTTCACCTTTTGAGTAAAGGGAGAGACTCCTGGTCCTAGCTGTGTTAAACATAACCTGAGAAAGAATTCCATCTAAGAATTCAGAGTCTAGTGTCAGCCAAAGCTGAAGTATGTTTTCACACAGATGCCAAGAACTAGAGTTTGAGATTTTGGCAAAGAGTGACTGGGTAGCAGGCTGAAGCTCCCAGTCAGGCCAAAAGGATCAGGATAAAATTTTCAGGGAAGAAATATAAGTCCTGTCCAGTTATACAGGGAATTGGCACTGAGGCAGTCCCTGTTCTATAGTGAAGGGAAACTGCTATAGACTACTCAGGGGAAAGAAGACACATCGTGATTTAAGAAAAGGGGAAAGAATTTAATACACTAAAAGAGTGACCTTTCCAGAAAACCTGAACAGTTATGAAACGATGTGCAAAAACATTGTAACTGAAACCAAAATACTTAGTCAACCATCTTTCACCTATAAGAGCCAAGAGTTTGTAAAAATAGGCTGGTTCAACACCATCTTGCCTGAACTGAAAAATATGTTGTTTTACCAGCGTTTACCTCAGCCTTTCCAATTCCTGACTACCCATACCATCCATGTCTATTAAATAAAATCTTTATTATTGTTCACTGTACACAGTCTCCAGTGCCATTTCAAGGGCTCTAAAAAAGAGGGCTCCTGTTTTCTTCTGACAAGTTCCTGGGCTGGGCAAAAGCCAAATCAGATTCTGTCACATGGTGGGACATTCAGATTTATAAAGCCGCAAATATTATCATGCTACTGGGAGCCAGCTCAGTACCTGAAGGGAAGTAAGAGTTTTGATGGGAAAAATCTGCCTCACAGTGAAGAAGAAGCAAGGGTCCACCATAGGCTGCATTCCATATTGCAAGCTTAAGTTATACAATACAATACAAAAAGCCTTTATTGGCATATATCAAATTATCCATACAGACAGTAAGCAGATAAAGAGGTAAGAAGGATAATTTAGATTGGTCTTTTAAATTTAATTAGTCCTTGATTACTAAACTTAAAAATAGGGCTACTTCTTCAGTTACTTCAGGTGACGAGTCTTTAAGAAGATGGTACACCATCAGGGCATCCGAATGGCGTGACAAATTGAATAAAATTTAGTCTAAAAGATTAGAACATATATCAGCATACTAGGCACAATAAAGAAGGATATGGGAAATCAAGTCATCTGATTCTGAATTACAAGCACAGAGTCTTGCAGAGTATGTGATATTATTATATCTGCCATAAGTGACTGCAGACGGAATAGCATTGCACCTAGCAAGCGCAAATTCTGGGCATTTGCGGAGCATAGGG